ATTTGCCCCCCCCCCCCCCCCAACACATATGTTACGAATGATGAAAAATATTTTTTTTTTTTAAATATCCACTCACCCCCTTTTTAATCGAAACAGGAAGAATGTTAAAATTGATATTTCCCACACTTCCAACCCCCCATAAAATTCCTAGTTTATTCAACCCTCTCGCAAGGTTGCGAAACTCTCAGTATAAATTACGAGATATTTTTTTTCAATATGTAATGGTTACGGTCGATACTCCCACGGCTGTTGTCCGATCCTATTCAAATGGCCTAAACAAATCTCAGGTGGAAGAAATCGTAAGAGAGTATATGCCGTAGCGTGGAGGAAAAAAGGGGGTCGAAAACTATGGACATGACGTGAAATGTCCCACGGTTTCGGCATATTCAAAAATTTCCCGTAAATTCAGAAAAATCAATCGGTCAGATCCCCTTTGGATTTGGTCCCTGAAAATTGCGTTCCTTAAAAGGGGATCCCGTGCGGTTCCCAGGACGCAGGTATCCGTCAGATTTACACACGACATTGGTGAATGGGTAGTTTGCATAAGGGGGATGAATCATGATGGTGCAAGGGCGCAAGAAATTCTATACCTGACATTAAGGGACGAAGGGTTACGCCAACTTCTTATTGTAGTCGAAATCGGCGAGTGGGTGTTAGAAAATTCAAAAATACGAATACGCGTGTGTCAATGGGATCGGGTGTGGGACGTTACTTGTATTGGAATTTCGCGTGAGAAAAATCGTGATGATCCTGTCGCGTTGTGAGAAATTTGGAAAAATCGAAAAAAAATGTTTACGCAAATTCAGAATATTTTAGACAGTCGTGGGGGAGGAAACGATTGGACCGGATGCTGGCGGCTACTATTTCCCAAGATAATGGGACTGCACGAGAAATCGCTTTCTGGCCTCGTCCGTGTTTTGCAACGCGGAGCGTGGGAACATCCCCTATTCGATACTCACCACCGTTTTTACCTGTTCCAAAGGGATTTGCTCGAGATGAAATACTATCTCGAGTCCAGGGAATGAAATTAGGCAGCTTAACGTTCGAGATGGACAGGAAGGCTTTTGAAAAATTTTCAATAATTTTAAGAAACGTAAAATGCCCTTTCACGGTCTTACCAAGTCATAGCTATGCTTAAGGGATGTCCTTTAAAATTCTTCGGTCACCCTTAAAATACTTTGACCGATTCGAATAACGAGATAAACCCTTCAGGATTGCCTGGGGACACAAAACGTCCTAACGATAATACTAGCTGTTACATTATTTTTCAAAATTGACATAATCGTCCCTCATATGGGATAGTTCTTAAAAATTGTACACCTGTTAGAAGTGCCTGATCGATATATAAAATCCTTGCAGTTTTTTCTCTCTCGAGAGAGGAATGATTTTTGTCTATGATTAATCGACACTTCGCTACGAGGCTGTCAATTTTGAGAGAAAAAAATTCTAGACTAAGCCCACTTCGGGGAAAAGATCATTTGGGGAAACAATAGGCAGAATTTCGAATTCTGTCAATAATACCTATACAAGGTCGGCAGACTCTCGAAAATCATTGAACTCCTCCGCAGGGGATTCGCTTACTGTTCCACGGCAATGGACGCTCTTCTTTTTTTTTTCAACCCTGGGAAAATGGCCCGGGCGGTAATTTAATTTTGCAACTGAGCTTCCGCCCTCACTTTTTGCGCTCCTCGAGCCAACGAAAATTAAGGGCAAGTAAAGGGAACCAGCTGAATTCGGTCCGAGCCTTTGTGGCCATCTAAAAAGGCTCACTCACTAAACCATACATGGTTACCCTGGACCTACAAGTATATTACACAGAGATACTCTGTGGAACCCTCAAAAACTATATATACAAATTCGAGTAGTTGTGAGTTTCCCAAAAAAATCCTATAAACATTTTTTTTAAATTACAAAAATAATTTTGACTATTGGACAAACTGCAGCCTTGGCAAGGACCCGCGAATACGACCAATCTGTCACTCATCACTCACTCTTAAATTTTAGGGGTGCATTAAGCCATCGTCTACTCAAGTGAATATGACACTATCTTGAATCTCTACTGTTCGCGGGGTTGGCAATGAAGCTAGGTATCCTAGTGGCACAGGGATGGTTACGAGGTTGGTATCTCTATGTGTGGTTTTAGAGCCCGTAAGGGTAGTAGTGGTGTTACGAGATTTCAAAAACGAAGTAAATCCCTTTTCAGGCTCTTTCCTTCTTCCCACGAGATGAACAGGTAGCCGAGATTCCGGTGTCCAGGAACCGCTCGGATTGTGTTTCACAATTAACAAATATAATGTTACTCAACCCGTGACCCTAGCTGACCAACATGGTCCCAAAATTGGACAGCAGGAAAATTCGAAAATGGCCAAAGTCCTTTTTTTTCATTCATTCGTCCTATGAACGCCCTTGTTTATTTTCCTGCTTCTACCGTACCGACCTTTCCTCTATTTTCCTTATTTAACGTATCTTTCTGGAATAATTTTATACGCTTCACTATAACTGCAAATCCTCGACAATTATTTCGCTAATAAACTGAAAATTACTGCAAACGAATATCTTCGTACACGTAACGTGGCATTTCCACGTGATAAAATTTTCTAGGTTATGTTTTGTCTATTCAATGCTCAAGAATAAATTTAATAATTATTTGATTCACAGTATTCCAGCTTCCTGATGTCTCAGCTTCGTCCATTTTGTCCTCACGTTGTCACAGACTTTCCACACTTTTATCTTTTCGTGAAATTACGTCCACTTCGCACTGCTCTGCACTGCTCTGCACTGCTCTGTTCGCACTGAAAATACGCGTATTTTAGGTTAACCGTTTTCGTACACTAAACATTCCTGGACGAACTATACACGGAGTATATGAACCCGTGTACACTTAGACCGATTAAACGCGATACTAATTCAACTATTTGCCAAGAATTCAATATGAAACTAATATTTATTTTCATTGTCCATCGTACCTGTCGGTACAGTTAGATAGCGCATATTGGTTTACACTGGCGCCGTTATCAACGTCCGCCATGTTGTACTACGCGATACAAGAGCGCTCCTAGCGCCACATAGTGGTCGAACTCATAATTAAAATTTATAATTTTCCAAGCGCGCTTATTTAACTTTTTCATTTATTATTCAATAGCCGCGTTCTTGAGATATACATTTAACGTTGCATGACGTTTATCCTTTTATTAATTTCTTTTCAATATTTCGTTCACGCTGTGCTACCTGACGGGGCGCACGGATTCTTCTTGTAACTGATTAAATTGATTTCGTTCTCGTTCGTCTTCACTTTTTCGTTCCCAAATCGTTTCACCGCTTCTAGACGTTTTAGCGCAGCTTTGAAAGGGCGCGGATTACGCAAATACCACGATCCTTTTTTCTTTGTTTGTCCAACGAAATCGAGCATCGAATTTCCTTGGGTCCACCTCGAGGCAGCCTTCATTCTGTTCTACTGATCCTTTCATCATCGATCAGCCTCCTTCGTTCTTCACCACCAAAAATAACGTCTTCTTATTACTTATCAAGTTATCAGTCTTATCACTATACCACAATATACTATAGTATATTTATATGAAATATCTTAATGCCCAAAAATTTATTAGCACGCTGTTTCTAATAAATAAACTTGACCAAATCAGTCCTTAAAAATTCTTAATCCTCGGAAAGAGCTTAAAACGCGATTTACAAAGCCCTTAGAAAAACAGTAAAAGTATTATACAAAATAGACCCGACTTATTGGTTTGACAGGTAAAGCGCTGTCATTGCATAACGTGTACGGTAAGTGTCAAGAGCCTTGAAAAAGGGCCCGTTTTCTAGTACCGTGAATCTGACCCCTTTTTACCCCGTCTACCTACGTCTAGGAGCTACCCTTAAAAACAAGGGCAATTAAATGGGTCGTTTTGCGCCGAACACCTTTCCCTCTTTACTAGCGTGACTTATAAAACGAAATGGCTGGGATTTGAGTAAACACGCCGGTTTGCGTGTTCCAATTATATTATATTATTTTATTTATTTATTACCGAATATCCCAGTCGGCTTTCTCCTCCGCTACTCCAATTGGCTGGGCAGTTTGGTACCTGCGAAAATACAGCCAACTGTCACTCGCAGTACTATTTCGCACATAAGTATGATTCCTCAGGGTATTTATGCGATGATAGTTTTTTATATATATATAGGGTGTATAAATCAATTTTTTAAGGTACCAGTTAAAAAGGCGAGAAAAGTCAAAAAGAAGGATATACAGCTAAAATCGCTACGAATATCGAGGTACTTGCTGTTTCTATTACAAAAAAGATTTTCTCCGTTCAAATATAATTTTTATACTTCATAAACACGTGACCTATACTTGGTGAAATTCTCAAAATTAATTCGTCTCACGACAGATATACTTTTCCCTCAGCAAAAATAGGACAGCTTTTCTTTGTTGCATTCGAGTACTTTTTCAGGACTCTTTTTCTCATTTTTTTTTTTTCCTTATCGCATATATTCTACGAGGTGGAATTTAAGAAAATTGACAAGGTACTTACCCCAGTGTATAATGGACTGTCACAACATTTTCGAATCCCATCGCTTTGCCACGGGTGGGCCGAAACTATTTCGATGAGTAACGGGGACAAGCGTTTAGCGATCCCTTTGACAGATAGTCCTTTCGACAGATTTTTTCTTCGGATTCGAATGACCAATAATCCTTTAGTATTTCCCAAGTCATGTCTTGGCTTTGTTGGTGACTCCTGTGGGACCTGACGATCTCCCGTGGGAGAGGCTTAAAGAGTTACGGTCCTGACTTTGCCGATCGCCACTCATTTTCTTCGCTTTCATTCTGTCAGATCTCGAGCGGATTTTTACCTATAAAGAAATTTTTTTTGACAATTAATAAAAATTTGAAATATCCTAACAAAATTTCGGTCTTGGAACGAAGAGTTATTGGGGTTGTAAAACATTGATAATGTTTGTATCGATAATTGAGTGCATACCTGCAGCTCTTTATGCAGACCATTGTTGATACTGTTGTTGTTATATGAAAATATAATATATCCATAATGCGTCTATTGGGCGAATACTTATGAACGTAACTGTACTAGGTCGTTTCTCGTACGTAGAACGGGGGTTGAAAATACTTTTTACGATTCACCCCCTTCGGTCCTCTATTACTCTTAGAAATACGTTATTATTGTTCGCTTATGTCAAGACAATGGCGCTCGAGGCGTTTCGCCCAAAATATTTGCGCTTCTTGTGGTTCCATGGGCAAAGCGACTGGGTGGAAATTTGGCGAGGATGGGAAGTTTATGAGGGTGACTTTACGGAGGCCTTTAACGTCGACCAATTTTGGTTTTATTCGTTTAGGGTGTCGTTTCATTCCCGGAATAACCCTTGCGCTTCCACGGAAAAAGGGAGAGCCCTATTTTGGTCCAAGATTTGATCCATTGTCCAGCACTGGGTCAAGCACAGCCATTGGTCGATTTTGCGGCCCGACCATTCGCACGAAACGATTTGGTTGGCAGCCCTGCAAGAACCGAAAGTAGCGAGAAAGCTCGTAAAGGAGGCGAATGTCCGCGAGGATTCGAATTTTCGACTATGCTCGTGAAAAAAAGGGATACGAAAAAAAATTGAAAAATTTTAAAACGAAAGGAATTGAACAAAAAAATAAAAGAGAGCAGCTGAACGGCGTAAAGAGAAATTATGGGGGTGG